GGCGCCTGTAGTCCCAGCTACTCGGGAGGCTGAGGCAGGAGAATGGCGTGAACCCAGGAGGTGGACCTTGCAGTGAGCAGAGATCCGGCCACTACACTCCAGCCTGGCCAACAGAGCGAGATTCCGTCTCAAAAAAAAAAAAAAGTGAATCCTTTCTATCCTTAAATTTGCTAAATATGTGACTTATTAGGTACCCATTTATCTAAGCGAGGCCTCTCAGGCCCCTTCAAAGTTGGAGCCTCTCCCTGATGTGACTTAAAAAGAAAAAATTATATTTATTCAATCACTATTTATTAAGCTGCGTGGCAGGTGCTGAGAATTTAGCAATGATCAACACATTGAATGAGGTCCCTGCCTACATGGAGCTTACAGGCTACATGGACCGTAGGAGTCACCAAGGGAAGCCCGGACGCCCATTAGAGAGTGTCTGCAGTAGGGGTCCGGGTGAGAGATGATGGTGACTTGGGTAAAGGTGGTGGCAGTAAAGACAGAGAGAAGTAGACAGATTCAAAATATGTTTTGGAAGTAGAGTTGACTAGACTCGTGAAGGGCTGCATGTGGGGTATGAGGGAAAGGCAAGACTCAAGGGTGGCTTCTAGGTCATTGCTTAACCTCCAGGTCGATGGCAGTAAGCAAATAATACACAATCATTTTCTTCCAATAGTGGCAGGTGATAGGAAGGAGAAAGTCGGGGTCTTCAGCAGCTGGGCCTGAGCCAGTCTGAGGGCTCAAGTCTGCCACAGTGGAGCATCCAGGAGTTGGTCACAGGGACAGAATGAGGGCAGAAGATGCTCTCTTACCTCAACTCTGGAGCCGTGTCCTATTTCCACTCAGGAGAGCACAAAGATATGTTTTAGGGGGGACTGTGGAAATGTGACCCCAAACATGTTTACCTGAACTATTACTCAAAAGGAAACTGATACTACTCAATGAGGAAATTTACCAAGTTTATAACATTTACTGAGTTACAAAACCTTGTGTTACAGGATATTTTTCTTGATTTTCTTAGGCAAATATGAGCATCTTACCAACTGAATCTCTTTGGTTCCTTTTAGCATGAAAAATCCCTTTAGAAAACTGAGAGGCTGAGGTGGGTGGATCAACTGAGGTCAAGAGTTTGAGACCAGCCTGACTAACCTGGTGAAACCCTGTCTCTACTAAAAACAAAAAAAACACAAAAATTAGCCAGGTGTGGTGGCATGAGCCTGTAATCCCAGCTACTCGGAGGCTGAGGCAGGAGAATCGTTGAATCCAGGAGGCAGAGGTTGCAGAGAGAGATCGCACCACTGCACTCCAGCCTGGGTGACAAGAGTGAAACTCTGTCTCAAAAAAAAAAAAAAAAAAAAAGAAAGAAAAGAAAAGAAAAGGAAAGGAAAGGAAAATCTGTCTGAGGGCTCATCCTGTGAAGTCTCACAGCACTTAGAAGTGACGGGGCAGACAGTGGGTAGGCTCCTGAGGTCAGAGTTTGAGGTCTGCTGCCAGCCAACTCCCTGAAGCAAAGAAGTTAATGGAGTTCTGTCTCCTTTCAGATTTCGGTATTCGGATTCCCGTTGGACACGTGGACTACTTTGTCAATGGAGGCCAAGACCAACCCGGCTGCCCCACCTACTTTTATGCAGGTCAGAAATCCAGTAAAAGTTGGTATTTGGCGACCCCAGAGATTGGAATTCACCAACAGCTGTTGTGTTGAGTCAGCCAGAATGGCCCACAGAGGGTCTGCTTGACAAGTGTCCTTTGCTATGTCCCATAATGCCTTACTCAGAGTGTATTCAAGGATGGATGTCTTCAGAGCCCAGGCATTTGAGGGGAGGGTGTGGCACAGTCCACACCAACTGCATCCTCTACAGAGCCTTGCTTTGGCAGAAGCAAGCCATCCTGCCCAAAGCTGGTGAGCAGAAGGATCAATTCACTGCCCAGTCATTTCACCACATTTACCAACTCTAACAGTTCTCTAAAATTGTTTTCAAGATGATCTTTTTGAACACACTCAATGACCGTACATTTCCTCTCTTTAAATATAGCCTTCTGGAATGTTCTTTTTAATATATTTATTGATATATTCTTAGCATACTAAATGTGTCAAAAGCTAAGATCAATAATTATTTGGCTTTCTTATATCTTATGAATATAGCCAATATATCAGCATTTCATATAAAAATTTAAAATGCTGAGTTCTGTTTACTATGTTTTTAGTCTTGTCTTGCTTTACCAAATTTTTAACATTTTAAGGATTCCTTTGACAATCTTATTGAATAACTACTCATTGATTTTACCAAATTTACTAGTTTTCCAAAAATATGCTTCTTTTTGCAATTTGTGAATTTCTCAGCAATTCTGATAAAATAGGAGTTTGGTTTCAATGGCTTTTGAAGATTTGGTGGCATTTCAATTGACCACTTTTCACTTTTTCTCCATAACACAATTTGAGAAGGGTTTAGTTTGTCTCTGCCCCAGTTCCCTGTTGCAGCTGGAAAGAGCTTGACCATAGAGAGTGTCCCAACCACAGGGGAAAGGAAAGTCAAAATTCTGCTTGGCTTTGGTTGCAGGTCACAGCAACGAGGTCTCAAGGTGTAGGGAGAGTTTGAAGACCCCAGGACCCTGGATTTGTAGCTCACCACATACTTCTTAGTTCCAGCCAATTTAACCAATGTCGAATGCTGCAAACTTAAATAGTAAATAACAATGAAGCTAAGTTTTGGTAAACTGGGATATTTGACAAATTCAGCGTATCAGTCATTTGGCCCGGTGAACCTCAGCACATTGGCTGTAGAGAGTGATCGACCATAAACTGCGGCTGATGCAGCAGTCTCACTGTTGGGTTGGGTATAATGAGGTTGTAAAAAATTTGTTGTATAGGTGATGATGAAGAAAGTAAAAATATGCACAAATACCCATTTTGAGAAGTGGGGCAGCATCATCAACTCTCTATATATTCCCATTTTATGAAGGAGAGTTTGCATGATCATATAAGAATCCATCTCAAGGCCAGGGCATGGTGGCTCACACCTGTAATCTTAGCATTCTGGGAGGTTGAGGTAGGTGGATCACCTGAGGTCAGGAGTTCGAGACCAGCCTGGCCAACATGGCAAAACCCTGTTTCTATGAAAAATGCAAAAATTTGTGAAGTGTGATGGTGTGCACCTGTTAGCCCAGCTACTCAGGAGACTGAGGCAGAAAAATTACTTAAACCCAGGAGGCAGAGGTTGCAGTGGACCGAGATCATGCCATTGCACTCCAGCCTGGGCAACAGAGTGAGATTCTGTCTCAAAAGAAAAAAAGAAAAGAAAAGAAAAGAAAAGAAAGAATGCATCTCAAATCAAACAATTTTCTTGATGGATTATGCTTATGTATCTCAGGAAAAGTAAAATGAAAAAGTAGAATGTAGTAACCATGTACACTAATATTTTGAAAAAGTGATTTGAGGGGACTCACATGCATTTATTTACAGCTTGCTGGAATATAAAATTCAATAGAGTTTCAGTGAGCAGCACAGAGGGAATTCCATTTGTCTTGACTGAAACTTTGGTTGTGTTTTTTCTGTGTTCAGGTTATAGTTATCTGATCTGTGATCACATGAGAGCCGTGCACCTCTACATCAGCGCCCTGGAGAACTCCTGTCCACTGATGGCCTTTCCCTGTGACAGCTACACGGCCTTCCTTGCCGGACACTGTCTGGATTGTTTTAACCCTTTTCTGCTTTCCTGCCCAAGGATAGGTAAAGTGCTTCCCCTTTGACTTCCTTTGACAATGCGAGGAAAGTTCAAGCCCTACTACTTGTCCCCTCTTAATGTCCTGATCTCCTGTGGTCAAGAATTCTATCCAATTGGGGAAAAGAAAATTAAGCAATGAGGTGCTCAGCCTGTTCTTAGTTGGAGATGGATGGTTGGTTCTCGTGCCCCAACCCTCACCCTCTATAGTGTTCCCTATGGCCATCCTTGCTCCACACACACCCTTCCCACATACAGGTCCCCCCACTCTTGGACCAGATGCTGCTTATAGATCTTTCTCACTTCTTGCCATTCTCCAGTTCTTCATAGACCCTAATTCTCTGTGTGGTGGGGAATCCCTAAGAGTGGAACACAAGACCCACATTAGAGGTCTGAGATTCTGGTGGTCTCATGGCAGCTGGGGGGATGCCTAGTTGCTGGGGGGCTTGGGTACCTTCTTGGATGATCCAGGCCAGTCTGGGGAAAGGATGCCAGGAAGGCTGCAGGATCTGGCCTCTAACTCACTTGTGTAGACCATTGCTATGAATATCTTGTGGTTATCCAGGATGAAGAGCTCCAGGAAAAACTCCTGGGCAGTGGAAACGGTTTTTCTCCTTTCCACACTCTCTTGCTTCCCGCTACCCCTGGCTGCCACTCAACTGTAGCAGCTTGCTACTGCTTATATGAGTGAAATGGGTACCAGCTTGACAAAATAGTAAAGTAGGGTAGCTTCCCATGATAGAACAAGTCAACATTATTTTCTACTCATTGTGTATATGTCAGTTTCCCCTACATGCCATGGACCCACAGACATAACAGCCGCTTCACACTGTCTGCCCAGCCTCATGTCTCACTACACTTTCCCTTGCACTGAACACCGGATGGTGCTAACTACTTGTACTTCCAAGTGTACATCAGGCTTCCTCACCTGTGTGCCTTGGTTGTAACCATACTCTCTTCCCAGAATGCGCTCTCCCCACCTGTCATCCACTAGTCTTCAGGTCAAACACTTCGTGCTTCACCGTGCTCCCACTGCACGGGATGTAAGTGTCATGAAAACAACTGCTATAGGAGATTGGTTTTGCAAGTTAGAGATGCAGTTTCAGATTTCTTATAATTACCTGCCAAGAATGAGTCAGATGATCTAAAAAGCATAGTGCCATTTATGTGTGTGTTTACTGCCCACTGGACCGAGTTGCTGGGATCCCAGGACTCACCTCAGAATACAGCATGAGGACTTGGGGCTTCTTACCGTCTATCTACTGATCCTATTTCCTCCTACCCTCCAAATTTACCCTCCAGTGGGTTTTCTCTCTAGAGTGGTGTTTAGGAGTGTCCTCTGGCTGTCTCCTTTCTGCATTCTCCTTTCTGCGCTCTCATAGTGCGTGTGGAGTGTAGATGTCTGTGGAATAAATGGGTGCGTGAATTAATAAACATGTGGCTGGGTGCTGTGGGACCCTAAGATAGCCTTCTCAGGACTCTGCTTCTTTGCTTCTTTATTTTCAGGCCTGGTGGAACACGGCGGTGTCAAGATAGAGCCACTTCCCAAGGAAGTGAAAGTCTACCTCCTGACTACTTCCAATGCTCCGTACTGCAGTGAGTAGGGGGAAATGCATGAGCTCAGCTCTGCCAGGGTGCCACCGGAAGAGTCCAGGGCTTCGGCTTGGGCTGTGCTCAGCCCAGTGTGGTAGTCTGGGTGGGAATGAATGATAAGGGCAAGGGCAACACCGGAGGTGGGACAACAGCCCCTGGTCTGAACCAAAACTTTCAGAGTCCAACCGATTGCTCTTCAGATGAGGACTTGGGGCTTCTTACCATCTATCTACTGGTCCTATTTCCTCCGACCCTCCAAATTTACCCTCCAGTGGGTCTTCTCTAGAGTGGTGTTTAGGAGTGTCCTCTGGCCATCTCCTTTCTGCTCTCTCATTTCCCACTTCTTGGTGCCCACCCTATGTGTTTCTCACCCTGGCAGCCTCCAAGGTGGGGGTCCCTGGGAAATACTGAACCTTTCCCTCTGCTCTCCTTCCCCTTCACAGATGCATTCCGGCTTCCCACTGTTACTCCTAACCATGGCATTTCTTTGAAGCTAGGATGCTAATGGTTGTAACAATGTTAAATGTGAAAGAAAAGTGTGTCCAGAATCCATGAAATACATTACAAGCTGAACCATCATCCTTCTCTATATTATGTGCATCTTAACTAGGGTGACTGTATTTCCTGGTTTATGCTGGTTATCCTGGGATCCTGTCTGCTTTATCTTGTGTACAGGATAAAGCATGCTGGTTTGGATGATAAACTGTATGCCACCCAATTTTAACTGATTTTCTGGTCAGTTCGTGTCGGGTCAGTGGAGGGATCTTTGTGACAATATCTTCCTGGTACTAGAAGGCCTGGTACCATGTGATATGGAGCCCAGAGCTCAGACTCTGTGCTCACCTAGACCTGGATTTGAATCTCAGCTTCTCTATTTACCAGCTGTGTGATCAGGAGCAGGTTATTTAAACTCTCTGAACTCTATATCCTTATGTGAATACAGGAACCATAACGGTACCTACTTTAAAGAATCAATTGTGAGTATAAAATAAAATGGACACAGGAGGTCACTAGTACAGGGACTGGAACCCAATCAGTAATAATTTCCTTCCCTTAGTCAATCGGAGAATTTGGGAGAGGAATAGTTAGGGTGTTTCTACCTTCATGCCAGAGAAAATTTATGGCTACCTCTTAGGAACAAAGTGGACTACAGAGTCAACTGTGGCTTTTCACATCCTTAACAGCTCATTTGACAACCCACTGGGAGACGTAGGGAAAGGGAAGCTCTGAGAGACCAAGTGGCATGCCTAAGGCTCCACAGCTGGGTGAAAAGGTCAGAACTCAATTCCAGGTCTTCTGACTCTAAAATCTATACTCCTTCCTCGCCACGACCATGGTTCCATCTTCTGAAAACCTGCTGTCTGCAGGCCGTATGTCTCAGCTCCCCTTCTGTCAGCGCCACCCCATCAGAGTTGGCATGTGGGAGGATGTTTTGTCTGGTGGTGGACGCGGTGCTGCCAGGACCAGATGTCCTGGCTTTTAATTCCAGCTGCTGGGCAGATTCACAGCAACCTGAGCTGGCACCTCTATGTCTGTGCAGCTAAGAATACACCTGGCAGGAAAGTTTGGGGAATGCCTGGAGGTTAAAAGCATGTTAAGGTCCCTGCTGAGGGGGTTCACAGAGCCATACTTTTTCTGACTGTTTCATATTTGTTGTGAGACCACCTCCCCATGCCTCCAGAAGCATAGCCATGTTGGTTCCAAAACCACAGAGGGGTACAGAAACAGGCATGCCTGCCTGCATGCTCTGCCATAAGCTGTCACTTCTAGGGATGGAAGCTGGATCCTCCCTGCTCTCCCTGGACAGACATGGGTATGTTCAGGAGTGGGTAGGGAGAAGCAGCTCTCCAGCTACTCTTAGGCCATCATGGCACTGGGCTCCCATGCCTAGCACCGTTGGCCTGCTTTGACTTCAGCAATGTTGACCTGTGCCAGGCATGCACCAGTATGGGCAAAGGATCTTCTAACAAATAACTTTTATACAATATATTCCCTCATAGAACAGTTTTTCACATAGTGTACCTTCTCTCCGTTACTTCACCCCATCCTTACCATGTCCTGTGTGATAAGTTGGGGGCTATTGCTTGCAGATGAGGGAACTGAAGCATGGAGAGGCTCAGTGTCTTAGGCAAGGCAGCATCACTTGTAAGCAGCAGGGTTGGGGCTTGGATCCAGGCCTCCTGACCCACCACCCAGGACTCTATGTTATATGACATGAGACATGTTCCTGTGCACATTTGATTCCACTAATTCCCACCCACCCAACATTAGGCTTGGCTCCCTTGGGGCCTCCAGGGTAATTTAGTGAAGAAAGAAGCAGGCCAGGCGCAGTGGCTCACATCTGTAATCCCAGCACTTTGGGAGGCAGAGGTGGAAGGGTCGCTTGAGGACAGGAGTTTGAGACCAGCCTGGGTAACATAATGAGACCCAGTCTCTACTAAAATTGTTTACAATTAGCCAGGCATGATGGTGCTCACCTGTAGTCCTTGCTACTAGGGAGGCTGAGGTGGGAGGATTGCTTGAGCCCAGGAGTTGGAGGCTGCAGTGAGCTGGTTATGCTACTGCATTCCAGCCTGGGCAACAGAGCAAGAACCTGTTTCTTTAAAAAAAAAAAAGGAAAAAAAAAAAAAAA